GCTCCTCTCTTCTGGACGAAATCGGGAACTAGGCGTAAAGAGGCTTCTTTTTTTTCGTTCTTCCCTTCGGGTAGGGTTTTTTTTTTACCGGAGACACATTAATGAATTTAGATTAGGTAATGATTTTTGTTCACGATTTCCGAATTATGGGTTTTTATTTTTGATTTACTTTTTCACCATTTCTTTTATATATATATATATATATATATATATATATATATATATATATATATATCTTTACTACTTATAAAAGAAATCTAATTATTTCTATAAATAGATTGAATATAATAATATTATTTTTTTAAGACGTTCAAGTGTTTAAACCAAAAGTACAAGTAACATCTAATAAATTAATATTGTTTTTTAAATCGTACAATTAATAAAGCATTATGTACAATAATACACAATCTAACTTAATATCTCTATCTACTTACTATTCAAACTTATCCGTTTAAAAATTGAACCAGTCTAACTTACTATTCAAACTCATACGATCATTCCCCAATTTTTTAGGAAAATTTGAATTAGTCCACATTTTAAGCATAAATCTAAACGATCTCACTTCTAGGGCACCACTCTCCTTATTTTTATCTCTTGCATCTTTTTGCTATGTGTTTTTGTCAATTTGAAGCACATCAGTTGTTTGATCTACCACTACCATCGCTAATATATAATGATTATATGGATTTCCATCATCAGTTCATCTCTATGCACTCCCAACGATTAAATCAATCATAAAATAGGTATTTATGCATTTGGTTCGATTTTCACTTTTGTTACCTCTCTCTATTTCACTCTCTGTTTCTCTCCTTCTTTCTTTCTCTCTCTCGATCTTAGAGTCTCTCACAGTCACCGTAAACAAATTTCGCCAGATTTACAAGGAGGATCATTTTTGCAATACTTTGTGCAAGAAAGCTTCATGGTAGGTCTTAAGGTCAGGAAATATTGGTCGATGTTACATGTTGCAGGTTAGATTTTTGGTGTTTTTATTTCACAGGTAAAATCTTTTTGTATTTTGATTTCCCATGTTTAGTTTTGTGTTTTGTGTTTTGTTTACCTTGTTTTGTTTTGGCAGTTAAATACGATGTTGATGAAATGATGATGGGTGTCTGGTCTGATGTTAACGATTTTTTTTTCAGGGAGGATTTTAGGTTGAAACCATTTTCCAAATACGACGATTCTGATTTCCATTTCCCTCACACCTGGCACCTCACTGGATGACCGCCATCAGATCCACCAAAAACTGTAATGAGCATCAGATCTATAAACACACACACACACATAAACACACGCACAGATGTGCAAAAAGTGAATGGTTAGCCATTTTGTTTTTTGATTATTCTGTAAGATAATTCGATTAATCTCTACTTAATCATACCTTCATTCTCCTTTTTAAAGTAAAGAAGACCGAGAGAAGTACATTGTTTCCTATCCTTAGTTTGAAATACCTTTTCTATTTTCTTCTTCCAATTCATATTTTTTATTTTATCTTGAAACATTTGTAAATGCGTATCATATTTACTGATATAATGTTTGCCTTCTCCTTTTCTATCTTTTGTAGGATAGAAAGGCCATAATGAAGCTAATAAATTTGTGTTGCTAACTTCCATCAATATACAGTAAGTTTTTCATTAGATTATTATTTTTCTTATAGTTAAAAGTCAGTAACTTTTATTCTAAAATACTGAATTTGGTTTGGTTGCATATCAAGTTTTGAAAAGGTTAGAATTGAGTTAAGATTAAAGGTTGTAAGTACTATCATCTAATATGTTTCCTATACATGTGAAAGTGGGTGGTTTGGTCCAGAGCAAAGCCTGGAAAAAAATTCTTTTTCTAACTATCCACCGTCATTATGAACTTCACCACTCTTGCATCGTTGCTGCTGACTACAAACGAAGAACCTAATTCCTAATCCATGTACGAGAAACCTATGGTAGGGTAAGTCGAAATCCATTTTGGGTTTGAAACTTTAGTTATGTTTCTAGATAAATCAACATCCATTTTCACCATCGTAGCTAAGGTAATACAATATTAAGATTATGTTTTTCTCTTTAGTATGAATCCAAAACTTAATAATACTCTCTGATTATCATATTAACATAAGTAGTCTTTCTTTTTGTTGTAGTTTTGATGCATTAAATAAATGTGTTTCTTGCTACATTATCATGTTGTGTTTTGTTTCGTATGCTCTTATTTATTGGAAATGAACTGACAATCCGGTAGCTTATCTTGTATTTTCTTATGGAGATAAACAAGAAAAAAAAATCTTTGTGGAGAAATTGCCATAATATTTTAATAAGTCAACACCTTCATGGAGTAATGTACTTTTTTCTGTTTATTGGTAGTGGTACTTGTAGTTTTATATCTGTTTAACTGAAACAAAAAAAAACAGTTTCATTATTTTATAATAACATTTTACTTGCATTGATTTTGATCAAGTTTGTGATTTGTTTAGTACAAAAATGATGATAGTACGTTGCTATTTTTTGCAATTAGCGCAATGAAAAGTAATAAAATATAATATTGTAACTATCCAGTTATACAATTAGGTGTTCTGTTGGAGCTTGAACTATAAGTTAGTGTAGGAATTCTTACAAACTACCTATTAGATCATATTTGCATATTTTTAATGTCCAGGTACCCAATTAGATCATTGCACTTTCAAACTTTTTTTATTATTTTTTTTTTGAAAAAGTAACAATTATAGCATTACACTTATAGTTTTTTTTTTTGAAAAATCATCCATTAATAGCGTCAGACTTTCTGTTGGACTTGGAATGAAAGAACAATGTACGAAACATATAAAACAATACAATTATATTATGTAACACTTTTTTCTATAATTTTAGAATTTATTTATAAAAAATATGTTGTTGTAAAAATGTCAATTTATATCTGAATTGGGCCAAATGCAAGACTGCTTCAACTAATTTTCAGAGGGGAAGCATTCAACCCAATATGGTTCCATACACTTAGGCTAATTAAGGGTAATGGAAATTGATGGTTCAAAATTTGATAATTTGTTTATGAAAAGGTTTTATGTCCATCTTTAATTTTTTTGATGAAAAGTATGTCATTGTTTCTTTTTAATCATGTCCAGGTTCACACAAAAGAAAAATGGATTTAGTGGTATTTTTTTCACAATGAAATTTGAAAAATAGTTCAGCTGGACTGTTGGAGTGGTGCTGCTAAATATGTGGAGTTGAAGCTTGTGCCAGAGAAGATCCTCAATAGCAGCATATTGGTAGATTTGTAGAGTTGAAGTTCGAGGCAATTTTGTAGTTATTATTATTTAGTTTTTTCAAAAGTGTTTGATGTTTAAGCTCATTATATGGTTGTTTTGATAGTTTTTTTTTGATAGTTTTATGCATCAGTTCTGATTTTAGCAAAACACATAATAATAGCCTATAGGAATCTAGCAAGACAATGGGTGTACTATGTACTAAAACAATAGGCTATGCACAACGTGGAAAACCTAATAATTAACCATTTATTTATGTTTGTTGTTAAAAAACCATTTTTATCATGTTTCTAAATTATTTTTCTACATAGAAATAAAATTATATAATAACAAAAACAGAAATAATGAGAAGAAAATCATTAAAAATAAGTCGAATCAAGATAAAAATGAAAATGAAGCTTGAATTCGATTCTGATACTATAAAAACAATGTGAATACGAGCACTAAACATGTTGTATGTGTTTTTAAAGTATTAACTATGCACGTCTATTAGAATTCACCTAAAATTTTCATAATTTTAATTTAATTATTTTATTCAATTTACAATCAATTACTTTTGGTGTTGTGCATTGAAATGATATTTTTAATATTTAATAATTATTTATGATAAATTTATAAACAACATAAGTATATGTCATTGAAAAAGTTGGACATAAGAATAAATTTATACTAATTGGTTGTACTTTGATCGGTGATATACTTCATATATATTTATTGTGAGTTATCAGATTTGATGTCCACATATTTTAACCAAAAATACACTAATTTACTAGAATACAAAAATTATAAAAACGTAAATAGTATAAAAAACCATCATCCACGAAAACATTTATTTTCTTAGAGAGAAAACAATCTCATACTATTATCTATTAACCAATTTTCAACATATTATTTGCTCAACATCAATATCACATTTAGATGAATCAGTAAATATTCATTTACACTAATTCAGAAAAATTATTTGGTCCAAAAAATAAACGGTCATTGAAGATAGTAAAATCTAAACCTTGGACCCGATACCCTAAAGGAAACAATTTGTTACATCATATCCACTTTGAACATACAACGTACGACCACAATTATGCTCTAAATCCACTTTAGGGTGTTTGTGTAAATTTATATAGTTAATATGACTTAAAATAAATATTAATGATCCATTTGAGGATGTCATGTTCTTATTAATGAAAACAATTTTCTATTCGACTATGTTTTGCGATGACAACCAATTAAGCTCATAGACAAACAATTTCAAATATTGGTATATATCTTCCCATGTATTCTCGCATGGGAAATTTTACGTTGCATTGTCCAGAGGGACATCACATGGCAATACGAATGTATTTTTAAAGCCATCAATTTCGTGTTTCGAAATTATTATCATCACCATTCAGAGAGCTTATCAGTTTTTTCCAGTTTCGGAATCATGGCCATGAATCCAATCCGGGTAGTGTCACGGGAGCTGAGGTAACTTTTCATTCTCCCCATCCTACACACACATATACACTAAATGCACATTATCACATAATGCTTTCCTCTATCTTCAAGTCATCTTTCTCAAGACTCCATTAATCACGTTGCATTGCTTATGGGCTTTGTATTGGTATTCCTCAATTAGGGTTTCTTTGCCTTGCCCACCAGGTGTTTGATAGATTCCTTCTGTCAAACTTGGGTTGGCCTGTGAATGATTTTTGTATAAATAAATGTTGTTTTCGTAGAAGAACTCTCATTGTGTCCTGTTTGTTTTGATTTATTAAACCAAATGGAGAATTTGGAGATTGTTCAGAAAGTTGGAGTTGTTTTGGTTTGTGTGTATTTATCATGGAGGATCATTAGATACATTTGGAGCTTTTTGGATGTTGAAAAAGATCCTCTTATTGTGCTTGTTACTGGAGCTGCAGGCATGTCTTTTGGTCAACTTTTCATTCTTATGAAAAAAAAAAAAAAAACTATTCATTTTATAAAACAGATTTCAAGATTAGAACTTGTCAATTCCAGTTCATAATTCATCAATCGCTTATACATTGTGCAAACAAAGCTGTACATTATCCTGATTTCATCCATTTCTACTCTGAAAAAGAACTCCTGGATTTTTTATTTTTTTACTTTTTCCAACATTGACTCTTTAATATTTCTTGATTTATTAATTTCCAATGAACTTATGTCGCAGGCCAAATAGCCTATGCCCTATTTCCAATGATCGCAAAAGGGGCAATGTTAGGTCCAGATCAACCAGTAATTCTACACATGCTTGATATTGAGCCTGCTGGTGACATCTTGAAAGGGGTAAAATTGGAACTAATGGATGGAGCATTCCCTCTTCTCAAAGGTTAACTTTCTAAACATATTATATTCATTGTCATGTGTAATTTCTTATCTAAAGTTAATTTTTGTTATTTGTTATGTATCTTTTAGGTGTTATTACCACAACTGATGTTATTGAAGCTTGTAAAGGTGTCGATATTGCAATCATGCTTGGTGGATTCCCTCGTAGAAAAGGAATGAGTAATAAAGATTTAATATCCAAGAATATCGGTATATACAAAGCTCAAGCTTCAGCCTTGGAACAACATGCAGATACAAATTGCAAGGTTTGTTTGTCAGACAGACATGTGTACCTGATTTGCATCTCACATGATAGTGTCTGGGATGGGATGGGCCAGCTCAGCTCAGGGGTTGTTGGAAGAATAAAAATATCTGATTTTTTGTTTTGTGTATTAGACCTAAAATTTTCAAGATTGATATTCAATTATGCAGGTTCTTGTGGTTGCTAATCCTGCAAATACGAACGCGCTCATCTTGAAAGAATACGCGCCTTCAATCCCCGAAGAGAATATCATATCCCTCACAAGACTTGATCATAATCGCGCGTTAAACCAATTATCTGAGAATCTAAATGTTCATGTTGGTGATGTAAAAAATGTTATTATGTGGGGAAATCACTCCTCAAACCAATATCCAGACGCTAATCATGCTATGGTCAACATTGGTGTTGGACATAAATCCGTGAAAGAACTTGTTACCGATGATAATTGGTAGCTCTTCACTTTTTTTCTCAAATATATGTTTAAAGTTTTAGCAGTCACAGTTTGAAAGTTTCAATTCTAATATGGATTGGCTCCTGGTGGGCCCCTATGTACCTGATTTAAAATCAGGGTTGCTAGAAGAATAACTTTTTTTTTGTAGAATGACAAAATTTGATTTCTTGTAATGATATTGATTATGATTTAGGTTGAACACGGAGTTCATAACAAATGTGCAACGAAGAGGTGAAGTTATAATAAAATCTAGAAGGTTGTCTAGTGCTTTATCAGCTGCAAGTGCTACGTGTGATCATATGCGTGATTGGATTCTTGGTACTCCCAAGGTTTGATTGCTTCATCTTTCTTGTTTTGCTTTCTTTTATTATTTCTCGAATATTTTATTATTATATTATTATTATTATTATTTGATTTTGCAATTTTGGGATGTAGGGAACATGGGTGTCGATGGGAGTTTATTCGGACGGGTCGTATGGTATCCAACCGGGGCTAATTTACTCGTTCCCTGTCACTTGTGAGAAAGGCGAATGGTCAATTGTTCAAGGTATGTTTCCAATAAATATTATTTTAGCATAAAAAACTTACTTTTACTATTATGACATTGTACTTGCTTTTTTTTTCTCATAATAAGCATTAAGCAATAAAAATCTACTTAATTATAATATCCTTGTTGTTTTTAGAGTTCAGTTGAGGGTATATTGATATGTGCAAAAAGACCCATGTATGATATAAAGATGGAATTATGAATTTGTAAAATGTGAATATGTTTAGAATTTGTATTGAGTAATTATTTTGCAAATTTTGCAATGACGTGTAGGGCTAAAGATTGATAAGTTTGCAAGGGAGAAGATGGATGCTTTAGAAAAAGAGCTCATTGAGGAAAAAAACTTTGCCTACTCATGCCTCCATTGATAATCAATCTTATGTGTAATAGGAAAATGAGTAGTTTTTATGTTATCATATTTGTATAAATTCTAAATAAATTATCGAACATGAACCATTAACGACTGTTGATGTATCTATATTTATATTATGTCATGTTGCTTTTCCTCGGAGTTGAGCGTCTTAGACCACAAATCTAACAACTTTAGTTCTCTAAAGAACACCATTTTTAGAATTCACTAGTTAGATGTAGTTTATTGGTGTAAGTATTACCATTAAGGGCTTCCCTATTCCCCATTGATTATAAAATTTCATCTTAATACATCTTTAAGAATTTAATTCATTTTATACATATTATAAATAAGTTTTTTCACATAAGATAATAAACTAATAATTGGTGGTATTAACCTTTTATTACAAAAAATAAGAAATTTACCTACAATAATTGTCTATATAATTTAGATACGGGATAATTATAAGTGTACCCACATCTCGATGTTAATACTATGTTTGGCAAACCATAATTAACTTATTTTTTCAGTTTTTTTAGGTTGTTATGCTTGATACACCATAAATTAGCTTATATTCTAACTTTTTAAAAAACTATTTATACTAGTTTTTCGATGAGCTTACCGAGTGTTTTAAAATTCTAGAAGATATACCATTTATTGATTTTTTTTTTTTTTTAAATCGATCTTCTACATGTTTTTTATGTCATTTAGATAGTTTTGTCAAAACGTGGACTAAAACTTTTATTTCTAAAACTATTTAAGTGTTTAAATATTGTTTTCGCATTGAAAGAGAACCTCTAAAGACACATGGCAAATGGCTTGGCTTTTGGTTAACCAAATTAGAGTTGGATCAGACATTAACCGCTACTAGTCGGTAGTTGCCATCTTACTCTTGCTTTGCCTCCGCCTTAGTGGGCTTAGCCCATAAAGTCACAAATGCTTTGCTTTGACTCATATCTTTTTGTAATCTTATAGATATCAAATCTCGACAATTTTTATATAAGTTGGGCTAGTCCATGCTAATATGGAGGTCCGGATACATCTTGTTCAAAAATTGTGATGCCACTTAGTATCTATAAACTATCTAATTTATAGGTCATATTTTGTTGTCAAGAATTATTTGAAATCTATAGGAGAGAGGGAGAAAGGAAATGTAAAATATATATTAAGGATGACAGTGGTTGTTACTTTGAATCTTTATTAAATGAAATGATGCAACGTTTGCTTGCTAATGAGCATAAGTTGTTTTGGAAAAGCAAAATCCCAAACACCCCTTGATGAAAGAGTAAGGGCAAAATAGGAAAAACATAATTTCAAGAAGTGCAGTGAAAAGCAAGTTACCTTTCTCCAAGATGGTATGAGCTGCATGAAATGGGACCCGAGCAAATATATCAGTTCCTGGGAACATCATCCATGTTTTGTCATTAGAGTCATGATGATTCCCACAGGTTGCACATATCTCTTTCACCAGAGGCTTTGACTGGTCAACTTCCTTCATCAACAGCTCAAATGGTGAAGGGACACTTGTTTTTGTTGTTCGGGCTTTTTTCCTTAGTGCAGTCAATGCTTCCCTGTTCCCATTTCTCAATCTGTCATTCTCGACTAACTGTCATCAGTAAGGGGGGGCAAAATAGTCATTTTCTTACATAGGGACCAAATTTTGTAATTTACCCCAGCACCCAAAAATAGTCATTTTACCTGGTGCCTTGCAAGTAAAAGTTCCTCTGCTTCAGTCTCGATCTCGATCAGCTTTCCTTGAAATTTCTTCATTGTATCATCCATTTTTAATCTGTTAAATATAAACCCGATTTTATTGAGGCGATGATAATAATATTGTAATCAATATGATATATTAGTGAATAAACCTATTGCTTTTCATTTTGGATATTGATTAGATAAAACATATATATTACAGAGAACGATTAACTTTGGCGTTTAAAAAGTACTTGAAATAAAACAATGACATTGTAAATTAATTTAAAGAATAAAACTAAAAACTTGTAACATCCACCAAATAAAAGTCATGTAAGATGTTTTTTGCACCAATAGGCATTTGGATTTCATCCACCCATATGATACCATAAACCCTACTTCCTGCAAGAATGCAAGTTCCAGCAGAAAAGAGTGTGTTTTGACAAAAATACCCCTGGCCATTACAAACTAAAAATGATCATTACGTGTTTTTGACCAAACCGAAATATCACAAACTGCCAATGAACCAAACAAAGTACTTCCTCAATCTTGAAACATAATTGGTATTTGGTATGCATGCCAAATGCTTGTTTTGACTGAAATACCCCTGACCATTAGAACTAAAAAGTTACTTCTCGGACAGGTAGGTTTATGATATTTGCAATGGCCTAAATGAGAAGTAACTTTTTAGTTCTAATGGTCAGGGGTATTTCAGTCAAAACAAGCATTTGGCATGCATACCAAATACCAATTATGTTTCAAGATGTACAAATAGAGCCATCTTGATGTTATAACTTTGCACACATAGTTTAGCCTTGTGGCACAAATTCTTAAGAACAACATAAGATTAGAATTTAGAATATACATTCACATCTATAACTTCACTCACATCTAAGGACAAACTGATGAATTTTATAATGTTTCTTTCATTGCCACACAGTTGTGTGTATCAATAAACACATTTTCATCATCACAAACACCAAAAATATAGCACCAATTATAAAGATGAGCAGATTTCCATCAAGTCAAACCTTCGACTCTTAACAATCCAGCAACATGCATTGTACTTTTCTATCATGTTATATTTACAACATAACCCATCTGCTAATTCCTCTTTAATCTATCAAGCATTTCACAATACTTTTATTCATCATATGTCACTTTCTAAGGACTTTATATGCCTTGAATCCATTTGATGCACAAGCTACAACCCATCAATCCATCATATAACATAGATTATTAGAAATTTTGGCAATCTACATGATTACTATACATAATGGGTGTCACCACAAAATTTTAAGACCAATCTTCTTATTTATGTATTTTATTACTATTAGATATATTCACTGATTAAATCGTATACCCTTTTTATTCATGCATCTAACATGCACTTACCCCATGTCCTTATAGAATTTGGATGTTGTTTGTAGTGGTATTTGTATCTTCAATGTGGATGATAACTTCTCTCATCATCACTGTTAAGAACCTGATTCGTTTTGTTCTAAATCTACCAAGATATATACAAGACTAAATGGCTCAATTGTTATATAACAACATCCCTTAGAAGAGAACCAACTGAAGTTTAATGCTTCAATTGTTATATTAATATTCATTACCTACAGCTACTATAGCAATTATAATCAATATATAACGAAACAAACCATGATGCTAGGTCATTTTAATTGTAAAGTACAAAATAAAACAGAAATCAAATACAAAATCACAAATCAAAGTCAAAGTCAAAGTCAGAACTAAGAAATCAAATACAAAGCCTGAAATCAGATACAAGGTCGGAAATTCAGAATTCTCATAAACTGAAATACAAAGTCAGAAATCAGAAATTTTCATAAAATTCAACTGCAAAGTCAGAAAGTCAAAATACATTTACAACATTTTGGAAATTCATACTCATTTACAGAATCAAAAATTCAGTTATTTAAAAATTAAAAAAATCAATACTCAAGACTCGGTCACTCAAACAGTTTAATGATCAATTTGGTAAAATAAGGAGTGAATCTGTGTGCCCATACATTCTTACAAAACTAGAAATTCACAATTGTCAAACTCATAGACTCTTACAGGTTATAAAGAGTCATGAGTCGACAATTACATGATCAATTTGATAAATGAAAGGAACTATGATTATGTGAAACTGTGAAAAAATAACAGAAACCAAAAACATGAATACACGTGATGAATCTTTTTTAATAATCTTAAACAATCATACATAGGCTAAATTTCATACTTTACTGGATTTTTTCGTTATCAAGTTTAGATTTTAGAAGCATGTATGTGCAATAACACATAAGTTCTTGAAGCTATTCGTTACAGAGATGTTTAGAAGCATGTATGTGCAAAAACATGAATACGTGATGAATCTTTTTTAATAATCTTTTTTTTTTCTCCATTTTTTTTGTCTTCTGATCGTAATCAAAATTTAAAGTACCAGTCGATTAAGTTGGCTCCTAAAGGTGAGGATGATGCCGACAGATCTTTTAATGGAGTTCGTTTTCGTTCTTGATAGTTGAAACCCGTGTTATCAACCAACTTTCTCACAACACGTAACCAGCCATCACTTTCGTGTTTTGAAATTATTATCATCACCATTCAGAAAGTTTATCAGTTTTTCCAGTTTCGGAATCATGGCCATGAATCCAATCCGGGGTAGTGTCACGGGAGCTGAGGTAACTTTTCATTCTCCCCATCCTACACACACATATACACTAAATGCACATTATCACATAATGCTTTCCTCTATCTTCAAGTCATCTTTCTCAAGACTCCATTAATCACGTTGCATTGCTTATGGGCTTTGTATTGGTATTCCTCAATTAGGGTTTCTTTGCCTTGCCCACCAGGTGTTTGATAAATTCCTTATGTCAGACTTGGGTTGGCTTGTGAATGATTTTTGTATAAATAAATGTTGTTTTCGTAGAAGAACTCTCATTGTGTCCTGTTTGTTTTGATTTATTAAACCAAATGGAGAATTTGGAGATTGTTCAGAAAGTTGGAGTTGTTTTGGTTTGTGTGTATTTATCATGGAGGATCATTAGATACATTTGGAGCTTTTTGGATGTTGAAAAAGATCCTCTTATTGTGCTTGTTACTGGAGCTGCAGGCATGTCTTTTGGTCAACTTTTTCATTCTTATGAAAAAAAAAACTATTCATTTTATAAAACAGATTTCAAGATTAGAACTTGTCAATTCCAGTTCATAATTCATCAATCGCTTATACATTGTGCAAACAAAGCTGTACATTATCCTGATTTCATCCATTTCTACTTTGAAAAAGAACTCCTGGATTTTTTATTTTTTTACTTTTTCCAACATTGACTCTTTAATATTTCTTGATTTGTTAATTTCCAATGAACTTATGTCACAGGCCAAATAGCCTATGCCCTATTTCCAATGATCGCAAAAGGGGCAATGTTAGGTCCAGATCAACCAGTAATTCTACACATGCTTGATATTGAGCCTGCTGGTGACATCTTAAAAGGGGTAAAATTGGAACTAATGGATGGAGCATTCCCTCTTCTCAAAGGTTAACTTTCTAAACATATTATATTCATTGTCATGTGTAATTTTTTATCTAAAATTAATTTTTGTTATTTGTTATGTATCTTTTAGGTGTTATTACCACAACCGATGTTATTGAAGCTTGTAAAGGTGTCGATATTGCAATCATGCTTGGTGGATTCCCTCGTAGAAAAGGAATGAGTAATAAAGATTTAATATCCAAGAATATCGGTATATACAAAGCTCAAGCTTCAGCCTTGGAACAACATGCAGATACAAATTGCAAGGTTTGTTTGTCAGACAGTCCTGTGTACCTGATTTACATCTCACATGATAATGTCTGGGATGGGATGGGCCAGCTCAGGGGTTGCTGGAAGAATAAAAATATCTGATTTTTTGTTTTGTGTATTAGACCTAAAATTTTCAAGATTGATATTCAATTATGCAGGTTCTTGTGGTTGCTAATCCTGCAAATACGAACGCGCTCATCTTGAAAGAATACGCGCCTTCAATCCCCGAAGAGAATATCACATCCCTCACAAGACTTGATCATAATCGCGCGTTAAACCAATTATCTGAGAATCTAAATGTTCATGTTGGTGATGTAAAAAATGTTATTATGTGGGGAAATCACTCCTCAAACCAATATCCAGACGCTAATCATGCTATGGTCAACATTGGTGTTGGACATAAATCCGTGAAAGAACTTGTTACCGATGATAATTGGTAGCTCTTCACTTTTTTTCTCAAATATATGTTTAAAGTTTTAGCAGTCACAGGTTGAAAGTTTCAATTCTAATATGGATTGGCTCCTGGTGGGCCCCTATGTACCTGATTTAAAATCAGGGTTGCTAGAAGAATAACTTTTTTTTTGTAGAATGACAAAATTTGATTTCTTGTAATGATATTGATTATGATTTAGGTTGAACACGGAGTTCATAACAAATGTGCAACGAAGAGGTGAAGTTATAATAAAATCTAGAAGGTTGTCTAGTGCTTTATCAGCTGCAAGTGCTACGTGTGATCATATGCGTGATTGGATTCTTGGTACTCCCAAGGTTTGATTGCTTCGTCTTTCTTGTTTTGCTTTCTTTTATTATTTCTCAAATATTTTTTTATTATTATTAATATTTGATTTTGTAATTTTGGGATGTAGGGAACATGGGTGTCGATGGGAGTTTATTCTGACGGGTCGTATGGTATCCAACCGGGGCTAATTTACTCGTTCCCAGTCACTTGTGAGAAAGGCGAATGGTCAATTGTTCAAGGTATGTTTCCAATAAATATTATTTTAGCATAAAAAAACTTACTTTTACTATTATGACATTGTACTTGCTTTTTTCTCATAATAAGCATTAAGCAATAAAAATCTACTTAATTATAATATCCTTGTTGTTTTGAGAGTTCAATTGAGGGTATATTGATATGTGCAAAAAGACCCATGTATGATATAAAGATGGAATTGTGAAATTGTAAAATGTGAATGTATTTAGAATTTGTATTGAGTAATTATTTTGCAATGGTGTGTAGGGCTAAAGATTGATAAGTTTGGAAGGGAGAAGATGGATGCTTTAGAAAAAGAGCTCATTGAGGAAAAAAACTTTGCCTACTCATGCCTCCATTGATAATCAATCTTATGTGTAATAGGAAAATGAGTAGTTTTTATATTATCATATTTGTATAAATTCTAAATAAATTATCGAACATGAACCATTAAAGACAGTTGATGTATCTATATTTATATTATGTCATGTTGCTTTTCCTCGGAGTTGAGTGTCTTAGACCACAAATCTAACAACTTCAGTTCTCTAAAGAACACCATTTTTAGAATTCACAAGTTAGATGTAGTTTATTTGTGTAAGTATTACCATTAAGGGTTTCCCTATTTCCCATTTATTATAAAATTTCATCTTAATACATCTTTAAGAATTTAATTCATTTTATACAGATTATAAATAAGTTTTTTTCACATAAGATAATAAACTAATAATTATCGGTAGGTATTAACCTTTATTGCAAAAAAATAAGAAATTTACCTACAATAATTGTTAATATAACTTATATATGGGATAATTATGAGTGTACCCACGTCTCGGTGTTAATACTATGTTTGGCAAACCATAATTAACTTGTTTTTTCAGTTTTTTAGGTTGTTGTGTTTGATAAACCATAAATTAGCTTATAATCTAACTTTTTAAAAAACTATTTATACTAGTTTTTCGATGAGCTTACTGTGTGATTTAAAATTCTACAAGATATACTATTTATTAATAATATAAAAAAAGTCAATCTTCTACATGTTTTTTATGTCATTTAGATAGATTTGTCAAAACGTGGATTAAAACTTTTATTTCTAAAACTATTTAAGTGTTTAAATATTGTTTTTCAAATTGAAAGACAACCTCTAACGACACATGGCAAATGGTTTGGCTTTTGGTTAACCAAATTAAAGTTGGGTCGGACATTAATCGCTACTAATCTGTAGTTGTCGTCTTTGTCTATGCCTTAGTGGGCTAAGCCCATAAAGTCACAAATGTTTTGCTTTGACTCATACCTTTTTGTGATTTTATAGATATCAAATCTCGATAATTTTTGTATAAGTTGGGGCTAGTTCATGCTAATATGAAGGTTCTAATGTAACTACTAATTAGGAGGTCATGGTTCAATCTAAAGCAAAGGATATATATATATATATATATATATATATATATATATATATATATATATATATATATATATATATATATATATATATATATATTTATTCAAAAAAAAAAGTTAGACAATTTTTGTAATTTTACTATTATAAAAAAGATAATTTCTATAAGTTTACAAATTAAACACAAAGATCAATTCTATAATATTTGCATTTTACCAAAATAGAAATCATTTATGTAATTTTACTATTAAACATAGACTATTTCTATAATTCTACAAATTAAAAACATAGTTATGGTCATTTGGACCATTTATGAAATTTTAATATTACGTAGGGACCATAATTGCAAATAAAAAACACCATTGCTTGATGTAGCTGGGACTGGAACAACAAAACACCTCAACATAAATGTTATTGCCCATAATAATCGTCATTATCTAGTTTCCATTTTAAACAAATTTTTAGTTATATTTTCTAAATGGTAAGTGATTCGTACACAATAATTCTTTTGTCATACACAACAATTTATACATTATAGAGTTATACAATACAACACTTTAAAGCACAAATTGTTGTGTACAGAGAAAAAGTATTATATATGAATCGGTTTCCTTTCTAAATATAGTTTGGTTTTTTCAGTTACATTTTTTCTGTGTTTTATAAAATGTTTTGTTTTTAGTTTTATTGTGTTGTTCGATGTTGTCCATATTCGTTTTAAAAATATATCCAAAATTTTAAATTGTTTGATTTAATTTTATATGTTTCTATTAACGACATTACAACTGCTCGTTAAAACAATTAAGACCTATCTCTTGGATGGTATTTTTAATTTTTTATACATTGTCATCAATATTTGA